CATGGATAGGAAGCACGCGCGCGCACACACACACGCACACACACACGCACGAAGGGGTGCAAGGGGGGCCTTCGGCCCCCCTCCCGCACCCACTCCGCCGGTAGGCAGGGTGGATCTTGCTCTACAATGTAGCATGTACTTTGTAAGTTGTAAAGCAAGGTCCACCCTGCCTACTGGCGGGGTGGGTGCGAGAGGGGGCCGAAGGCCCCCTTTGAACCTCCCACCGTGTGTGTGCGTGCGCGCGCACGCGCGCGCGTCATGCAAAAATGTGCGCAGTTTTATGTCCCAAACATCAGTCAGTCACTATCTTTAATTGTTCATAACTTTGTAGTAAACAACGAGCGACGATTAAATTAGAAGAAAAAGTTATTCAGAATTATGTCCTTGACAACATATACCAAGATCATTGAAATCGGTGAGGTCGCCCTTAATCTTAAGTTTTACCATTAAATCAATCAATTATTTTCTGCTTTAACAAAAAAACTGTTCAATATATCAACGATTCACTGCTAATGATTTTCCTTCGTTCATACATATACTATTTCCACATACATATTAATTGTTTATGCCTTTTAATACTCAAAATAACTGCTATATTTTTCATACCTTTTTGTTAATAACTTTTTAATTAATAATGACCGACGGTTAAAACCTTTTGTATGTTGTTCAAGGTCATGACCTTGATAACATATGTCAAGGTCAAGGTCATACGAGGGAGGTCCCCTTTTATGCAGGTTTATCCAAATTTGAACTACTTTTTGTCGATGACAGATATTCTAATGTTCTCTGATAACATTATATTGCAAAAGGCTCTATCCAAATAAATCATCAATTTCCACGTTTCTCATTGTTTTAAAAAATAAGTTCAACTGTGCGAGAGAGAAGTGGACGTGGGCGAGAGAAACCCTGCGATATCGCGTTTGCACCGGACGCGCAAAGATACTCTCCGCGAGCGGCGGATGTATCTTGAATACCGCAAGCGACGGTATAAACGGCGCGTTTTAATTGCGAGAGATTAATCGCGAGCGACAAAAAATCTCTTTTATTACTATCGAAAACTTCGCGTTTCGTAAGCGAGAGTACGAACTGGAAAAGCGAGCGACTTTTCTATCAGAGTTTAGACGATATAATAACACACTGTCACGGATGGAGTTCACGATCGAGTGCGCCCGGCGGTTCCCCGAGAGAGCTTTTATACAATCGTTCTTTTGCCTATTCTATAATGTTCGACGTGTTTTCGCGAAAGATCGAGCTTGGTGTTGTTTGCGATGATTAGGAACATTAGAACGTTGTTATTCGCATTTGTTGTTTGCAATAGCTCGCGCGGGTGACCGCTGCGTGGCCCGCTTCGAACGGCACGAGCGATGCCGCGGGCCTGGCGTGATTCGTGCAGCGCCGCTGTTTGCGCGTGATCTGATTTGCGGCAAACCGTACGCCGCGCGAGATGGCCGCTAACGCGCCAATTTTCGAGCGCTCCCTTTGGAGACGCTCAATCTCAAACAATAGAGAAGAAGCAGGAGTCTCATTTCTCTTCTTTGACTAACGCTTAACATTTCTATTTTAGGCTCTAACTCTGACGCTTTCAATTCAACTGTTTATAATGTAATATTTTTGATAGAATTCCCAAGATTTGTTTTGCTATATTAACAAAAATTTGCAACTCATTGTTTAGACATTTGTAAGTGACCTAAAAATATTAATTACGCATTAAATACATTTATATATAAAATATAAATAAACATTCACATTTTCAGAACCAAAAGTAGCGAGTAATTCCAGATCCGCAAAATGTTTGTATACACTATAGAAGTGCTTCGATATGATTTTATCATTTTATTATTCTATATAAAGCCAAATAATAAAAATGTATATTCAATGCTGTGGTTTTTATGATATTTTTGATAGAATTCTCACAAGATTTATTTTGCTATATTAATATAAATTCATTGCTTTTAGCCATTTGTAAGTTAACCTAAAAATATTAGTTATGCATTAATTACATTTATATATAAAATACAAATAAACATTAAATACATGAATGCGCGTTCGCGCGTATAATTACCAGCTTATCGTTATCGAAGACATGGCCATCCAAAATCTCTAAATATTCCTTCGATTTATTCATAATCATTTTCCAATAATGTATTTATCACAAATATGTTATAATTGATAATGCACAGATTCACTCCACTGTAAGTATTCGCTCAGTTTTATTAATATAACCAAACTTTGCTCGATATGACATCGATTAAAAGGAATCACTTCTCTTCCTTACACTATTCCGCGTTAATAATTTCTTTTCACTTTATCACTTCTCTTCGTTGTTGCATTATTCCGCGATACTCTTATTACTTTTCGTTTTTTCGTTCCATTATTCCGCGATATATACTATATAATCTTCACATTTTTTATCTTATCCGCGGGATATATACTCTTAGGCCGATATTACATTTGTCGTGCGACAAACTTTTTAAGCATATTGATTGGCTGCAAAATAGAAACTTTCTTGAGTCTCTAGAAATTAGCTAATCAATGCGCTTAAAAAGTTTGTCGTACGACAAATGTAATATCAGCCTTATAACCTTACATTATTATCTTATACATATGCACGTATATACACAACATTGGGTCTGTTCGTTATAGCTGAACTGGCTGCACTAGTTCAGAGCTTATCTTTCTTCTTCTAATGTGGAAAGAAACAGATAAACTCTGAACGGGTGCAGTCAGTTCAGCTATAAAGAACAGACTTATTGTCTCTCAAAGCGTATTTGCACACTCAAGCGAATAATCGTACATGAGCGCTGCAAACGCGCCTTGAGGGACAAAATTGATTTGCGTGTGTGCATGCGAGCATACGTACGTGAGAGTCTGAATTGGAAAAATAAATGTCACAATTCTGGTATTTCGCTCGATACGATTATCATATCTCAGGATTAACTACACAATCTTATTCAAACTGGTCGCAATCGAAAGCTTGCATCCACATTGTATAAGAAAAGTGCCGTTAGATTTTTGATTACGGCTTTAGTTCCTGAGGGATTTTAATCGAAAGTTTATTAAGAGTAAAACTCCGGATAAGCTACTTGGTAGCATCGCGGCCCCTGTACATAGGCAAACCGTTGACAATCTAGAACGAATTTTTTAATATACTTGGCGTCGCGACGCTACCGCGTCGCTTGATACAATTATTATATTTTCACCATTTTTTCTTAAAAAATGACTTTCTTATAGGAGTCGCCAAAATTCCCTTTATAGGCTTCCATTTTAATCTGAAAGGAAGCTTTTCACAAAGTTTCATCGAAATCGGAAGTAAGCCCTTTTCGGAACTTTATCCGAGGATTTTCGATAAGAATTAGATCTTTTCTAAGCATTCTAAAATCACTGAAACGCGTATCAAACTAAATTATTGACGAATCAATAAAGTGGAGATGTTTTTTAAAATCATATTTTTATCGTGTTTTTCAAAGAGAATCTTGCGGTAGATAAATAAAAATAAAAAACATCTTAATAATTATGCAGTTTAGGGGCGATCTCACAAATTTCAATATGCTTTGATATCAAGAATGCCATCCTGAATAACTTTCAAAAGCCGTTGCTTCTTGTTTATTAAAAAGTTATTAGCAGAATAAGTTTAATAAATAGAACATAATTTTCTGTCATCATATACATTTAAGAAGGAATGTTGTGTGTGTGTGTATGTGCGTGTGTATGCTTATTCACATTAGACTTATTTTGTTAAAAATTTTTAATAAATAACGGGCGACGGCTGAAATCTTTTGAAAGTTACTCAGGACCGTGTTCTTGATAATGTATATCAAGACCATTGAAATTTGTGTGGTTGATCCTAAACTGCATAATTACCAATATCTTTTTCTAGGTGATGATGACGTGATCTTTTATTAATATTATTTTCTTGCGGAATGAGTCGACATGAGCAACTATTATGATATAGTATGGTTGGTCTTTGGCACCTTCAAATTTAAATGAGAAAGAAAGGGGGGAGAGGGGGAGAGAGGGAGAGAGAGAGGCAGGGAGAGGGGGAGAGAGAGAGAGAGATGTTTAATCTATAATAAGATCAAGTTCACAAGAAAAAATATAAATTTTCGAAGAAAGATATAAAATCATAAATCATCACAATTCTCCTGCACTGAGCCATCGAACTTTGAGTATAGAGACATATTTGTATAAATTGAATTATCCTCTTTGAGAAAATATTGGAATTTCTGGGATCATTTTCTGTGATTAACAAAATTGTGATCGCTTTTTATTTCATTCATATTTTTTTTATAATCTGTATTACGGTACACAGTTTAACTGCTTTCCTACATTGATAAATGATGTAATAAATAAAGGGGAATTTTAAATCTCGCTACTTTATTTGGCCGAAGAAATTTTTAAACCAGTCATTGACTTCGCGCCATCAATTACAATAGACAAGCATTTAGAAAAATCAATGTTTAATTTTTTTAGAGTTTGTTCAATAGTCCTAAAAATGTTTATACCGGTTGTATGCCATAATACGAAATCTAAAAACTCTTTGATACATGAAAAATCGTTTTGTACTATTCAAAGAAAAATACTCAATTGATTCAGTTAACATATGGATTATCTGTGCTTTTGTCCAGACACATTGAAAAATATAAGGACATTGCCAATAAATGTTTTCTTTATGGAAAAAGCAGGATATGGTTCATACTTGCTGTTACTGTTTTCTTTATTCAATGAAATACTATCAGTTTTTGCAAATGTTATAATTATATTTTATAATATAGTAATTCTGTAATATAGTAATATATATTATGCTCTTCTTAATAAACATGTATGTGTCAATTATTTTTCATAATTGTATAAACTTATACAGTCACGCAAGTTCGGTTGTGAATAAACTTTTAAAATATTGTTATAGCCCGAAAAGGCTATATACGAATCACTAGATACAAACTCCCGAATTTTCGAACTGTTATCTTACCACGCTTCTAATAAGCTGAGATTTTTCTTACCGTCCAATTTCCTCTACCATTGATTAAAAAATTTTCCGGGATTTGCCCACGATTTTTTCTATATCGACCAGGAAAACGTTCTAATGATAATTCGTGAAACCAGTCGCTGATAACCATCACGTGTTCTGGACGATCTATATCGTACAAATTGTAAAACGGATTCAATAGTGGCGAATCGCGTACGATAAAAGATCCATACTGTCCATCTATCATGTGCACCGATATATGTGAATGATAAAAATGTGTACCTGCATTTTTTACCACAAATTGATACCTGTAGAAAAAATTGCAAAAATAATATTAGGGAATATTTAAAGAAAAAGTCTGAAAAAGAGATAAAAGTATTAAGAGCTTTAAAAATTTTACATTTGTTCCTATGCTTAAAATTACTCATAAGATATCATTCAGAGTTGGGCGTTAATCGATTTGATTAAATAATTTAATTAAAATAATGTAATTACAATGTAATTGTAATTACAATGTATACTCCGTCCAGCGAGAGAATAACCTCGGATCAGACAAAAACTCGTCCGTTACGCGCAAGTCTCCTCCTACAGAACGCCTAGAAAGCCTCCACCACATCGCAATATTACTCGTGCAGCTTGCCGGTGCTAGCGAGTGATAGGTCTCCCCGATTGTGTAATTTAAATATATTACAACTCTTGTTCTTGTAGTTGCCTATCATATTATTCCTTATTTTAATTTCGTATCACATAAGATTTCAATTTTATATCACATTGAAATTAATCGAGATTATTTCATACCCTCTCCCTCCCCTCTCTCCCTCCCCCCCCTCTCTCTCTCCTCTTTGTGTATGGATGTGTATATGTGTACACACTATAGAATTTCGATTGTACATAGAGAGTGTCATGTTTCGAAGTATATACTTATAAAAGATTTTAGTATATTTCATAAACTTTCAGTTACATTTTGACACTAGTACCTACTAATATTATTCGTTATTGTAATTGTTCATTGTTCGTAATTTGTCTCGTTCATAATTATATGAAGTTTTTTATAATTACATTTAATACATATGTTTTTTATAAACTACTCCTTTCAATAGAATGAAATTTAATTACTGAATTGAACTTAGATTCATGAATATGTATTGAACTTGATCCCATCCCTAGTCAAGGTATTAATCATATGTGCCTTTAGAAGACGCGTACTCTTAGTCGCTCTTATTCTAATTACAATTACAATTACAATTACAATTACAATTACATTGAATCAATTAACAATTAACAATTACGTAATCGTAATTTGTACACAATTACTTTTCGCAATTATTTCATTTAATCGTTTGCAACAATTAACGATTATAAAATGTAATTATTAATTGCATTAAGAATTACATTGTAATTGTAAGTTGTAATTGTCAATTAGATTACATTTTTGCTCAACTCTGATGTCATTACATAAATAATTTAATTAACTAATAAAGGCTCTTATAAATATATCATACGAGGAAATAAAAGGCAATCAAGAGCCAGCGCAATAATTTGTGCGCATATGTTTTATTACAATCAAATTACATTGATATTTTGATTACGTGATAGACAAAATCACAGAAAGCATACGTTTCGGTCCTCTTTTTTTGGACCATCCTCAGCGCAATTACAAAGTATATGGAATATATTATATCAAAAATGTGGCAGTAATAATACTGTTCATACTGTCCATTAAGAATAATAGTTTCTTCTCTAAACAGTCCATTATATCATCTAGCTTCTTACTTACACCAGATTATGTTTAAAAGTTTTCCAACAGCCAATAGTAACGTTTCAAATAGCTTCAAATTGGTAAAAAGACTCGGAGATTCAGATTGATGATAACTTTAGTCTAATCTCGCTAGACGTCGTTTCTATTTTTACAAATATACCTATTGAAATAACGATGGACAGTGTTTCGGATAGATAGAATTATATTTCTGATAATTGTAAGATTTCTAAATCAGAATTTCTCCGAGCAGTTAGATGTTGTAATTGTCAATTAGATTACATTTTTGCTCAACTCTGATGTCATTACATAAATAATTTAATTAACTAATAAAGGCTCTTATAAATATATCATACGAGGAAATAAAAGGCAATCAAGAGCCAGCGCAATAATTTGTGCGCATATGTTTTATTACAATCAAATTACATTGATATTTTGATTACGTGATAGACAAAATCACAGAAAGCATACGTTTCGGTCCTCTTTTTTTGGACCATCCTCAGCGCAATTACAAAGTATATGGAATATATTATATCAAAAATGTGGCAGTAATAATACTGTTCATACTGTCCATTAAGAATAATAGTTTCTTCTCTAAACAGTCCATTATATCATCTAGCTTCTTACTTACACCAGATTATGTTTAAAAGTTTTCCAACAGCCAATAGTAACGTTTCAAATAGCTTCAAATTGGTAAAAAGACTCGGAGATTCAGATTGATGATAACTTTAGTCTAATCTCGCTAGACGTCGTTTCTATTTTTACAAATATACCTATTGAAATAACGATGGACAGTGTTTCGGATAGATAGAATTATATTTCTGATAATTGTAAGATTTCTAAATCAGAATTTCTCCGAGCAGTTAGATTTACTTTAAATTCAACTTTCTTCACATTTAATGGTATTATTTACCAACAAACCTTTGCTACACCCATGGGCTCCCCTCTGTTCCCCATTATCGCGGATATTGTACTGCAAGATTTAGAGAAAAAAGCGCTTGGGTTATTAAAGTTCACTCCTCCATTTTATTTTAGATATGTGGATGATATTGCTCTTGCTGTCCCGTCTTCTTTAAATTGCTAAAAAATTACCTTTTTTTTAAAAAAGTGAAAAAAAGGCGCCAAGTACACGCGCACAAGCGCCTTTTGCTATAAAAAAACTCTTATACAATTACATTTTGAATTTAGCACCCCCCATCGTTACCCGGCAAGTAGACCAGCCGGAAGTCTGCCGCTCGGCGAACACCAGCCGGGCATTGGCAGAGGCGCCTAGCGCCCTTTTTAATACTCTAATTACCGCCGTTGCGATAAACAACCGTACGGGGGCGAACGACGCAATTACCGCTAGACGCTCGGGTATAAAAAGGCAGCATTTCGACAGCTCATGACCAGAACGATTCCTGAATCCTCTCGAGCAGTACGCTCCGAGCCGATACCAGAACCGATCCTAGAACTCGCATAAAACGACGGAACGTGAGATTGACGCGTACGCAGTCTCCACCAAGCATTCTCGGTCTCCTCGCCGCCTGCGAAATCCTCACGAAAGTCCGACCTAATCAACGAAAGCGGAGAGTTCGCCGCTATCTTAGATTCGGTCTAACATCCGACCGCTACCGCTAAACGGACCGTGGGCCGGCGAGTTCGCCGCCCCGTCGAGGCTTCTTGACTCCAGCTAGCCATCCTCTATCCGCGTACGGAAGCAGGGACGGAGAGTTCTCCACCCGATCGAGGATTCTCGATCTCCGGCCGCCTCCTCCCGGCACACCTGAGAATACGCGGATAAAGACACATAAACGCACCGACACGGTTTTACCGTGATCCCGCAATTATAATCGCGCCGAGATACTTAGACGGATCACACGATATAATTCCGCGCGCCGTCAAAATAAACACGGCCTTGCCGTACACGCGCCGATCGACCGCGCCCTGTTTCTTGCGCGTTTCGCGCGCCGTCAAAATAAACACGGCCTCGCCGTACGCCGCCGAATATCATAAGCGGTTCGATACATCGAACCTCGCGCACCGACTAACGAACGCGAATTAAATCTAACGCGTTGCATTATCCGCCGCGCGCTAGCATCACGAAACATATTGTAACTTGACCATTGCCGAAAGAGGCGAATGAATACGCTACATTGTATCTCAAGCTTTTTGTGTGTCTCATCTTTTCACGAGCCCTAATCCCGACCGAGTTCATCCGCGCGCGCTCGCGAAAAGTAATCCCGTTACATTGGCGCCCGAACAGGGACCGGGAGACATACGATTTTTTGCGGATTTAACGGCGTGGTCAAAACACCGTCCAGCATGAAAAGTTAGGGTAAATATAGCGAATAGGGGACCCAGCCCCAATGACCTTGACCTTGACATATGTTGTCAAAGACATAATTCTGAGTAACCTTTTCTCTTATTGATATGAAAAGGATAGATGTAACGTTTCTTTTTTTTATATATTTAAGATTAGAATAAACCTTACTAATTATATGTAAAGTTATAATATGAGTTATAATATTTAAATTATAATATAAATTATGATGTGTGTATTCTACATATCTACGAGACAGATTAGTCGGGTGTACATAGCACAAGCGATTAGTGTAAAAATAATGTGTATGCGGCTATACACGCTCACGAAAGAGCAACTTGTCGCCGTAGCCACCCAGCATGGCATCGACACGACCGGCACACTCGACGAAATCCGCCACCGGACAAGCCGGTATGTAGACGCGCACCCGGAAGAATTCGGGGCACAAGGCCCGACCGCCTGGAGCACACGGACGCCCCCGCGAATCGAGATCGCACTACCGAGCGCACACCGCGACGAAAGGCGCGGATTCGAACCATCCGCGACCACGCAAATGTTAGAACAGCTGCGGAAATGGGGACGTCCATTCGACGGTCGCGACTCGATCGCCTTCCTGGAACGCGTGGACGACCTCCGCGCGGATTACGGGTACTCCGGCGAGCAATTACTGAAGGGGCTGTCCGAACTCCTACGCGGAGATGCCGTCGCGTGGGCTCGGAATAACCGCGAAGACTGGCAAACGTGGGGAGATTTTTGTAACGCCATCCGACAGCGGTATCTGCCCCCACGGTATAACGAAGAGCTCCAACAACAAATCGCCGAACGGAAACAAAGAGAGAACGAGAAATTCGCACCGTACGCGGACGACATGATGACTCTCATATGCCAAGCTGGGGGGTTCACCCACGACCAACGACTGTCGCGAATTTACGCAAACATGCGGCCCGAATATAAGAAGTACGTCAAGCGCCGGGACATAGTTGATCTAAACGAACTATTCGATGACGCCGCGGAATTCGAGCGGATCGAGCAGGAACAACCAAGCCGGAAACAATACCCCGCTACAACCTCGACCGTAGCAACCGCATACAACCGGGAGGAGTGCTTATACAGGGTGGTCCTCGTAACGGTCGCCACGATTTTTAAGGCTCTTACAATAATCTGACATAAAAAAGTCATAAACAGAAATTTATCAGTTTCTAGCACAAACGATTAGTGTAAAAATGATGTGTATTCTACATATCTATGAA